GGTGGTAACAAGTATATTTTGGTTATGGTAGATGATTTTTATCGATTTACCTGGGTTTACTTTCTTAAATAGAAATCAGATGCTACCTCGAGGCTAAATGATTTTATCAACCTAACTGAACTTTAATTGTGAAATCCAGTTAGGAACATTCGCAGTGATAACGGTTCAAAATTCAAAAACCAAGTGTTTGAAAAATTCATGACTGAAAAGGGAGTTTCTTACACCTTTTCCACTCCTTACACTCCTTAGAAGAACGCAGTCGTTGAAAGACGAATCCGATATCTTTGCGAAGCTACGAGGGCCATGCTTTCATTTGCGAACTTACCACTCTATTTCTGGGCTGATGCGATCGGAACCGCCTGCTTTACTCATAATCGCTCATTGATTAACAAAAGATTCTCAATCACTCCTTACGATATTCTTATGAAATGAAAACCTAACATTAAGTTCTTTCATGTTTTTGGTTCCAGATGTTTCATTATTAACTCCAAAGAGCAAAGGAAAAATTTTGACCTGAAACCAGATGATGGAATCTTCTTAGGATATTCTCTTACTTCGAAGGAATATAGGGTTCTAAACAACAAGTCCAAAAGAATTGAAGAAACCTATTATGTCACTTTTTATGAAAATCATCCAAAGAAGTATCAGAAGTCTAATAGTCCATTTAAAGAGATTTTTGCATCCACACCCTATCAAACGATTCCTCTGATGAACTTATACGAGGAATTCATGAATTTGTTTGATGAGCATGAGAAAGCCATCACCACTTAATCAACTGCTAAGGATAATCAAGAGGATGAGTTAAAGAAGATCATCGACGATGCTGCAAAATATCTTGAATCCGAACCAAAAATTATGAAGGATCCAGTAGTTAACACTTATATACCGAAGACGTCTGAAGTACCACCCCATACACAACATACTTCTACTACATTCCAAGGGGAGGGTTCCACTTCGACGTTTACATTCGATACAATTTTTGAGGGGGAGAATTCAAAACCTGAATTCGTCACTGATATTCCGAACCATGTGGAGAATCTGAGTCTGAACGTTGAGTCACATGTAAACTCCCAAGGGGAGCATGACAATGAAAATAACAACTCCGACGATGTTCAATCCTAATTCGAAGATGTCAATGCTGAATTGGAGCCTTCTTATGATCTAAACTACCTACCATTAACCAAATGGACCAAAGATCATCCCAAAACTCAAGTTATCGGAGCACCATCTTCAGGAGTTCTCCCAAGAGATAAACAAAAAGAGAATCAAACTGCATTATTTTCAAAGATGAAATTTTGCATGTTCAATTCGTTTATCACCAAAATTAAGCCCAATATTGTAAACGTTGCTCTTGATCACTCTGATTGTGTGCACGCTATAAAGGATAAGCTTAATGAGTTCGAACGTAACAAAGTATGGAGACTGATTCCTACTCCGAACGATGCTTTAGTGGTTAGTTTAAAATGGGTGTTTTAGAAAAAGCTTGACAAGGAAGGGAATGTTATCCGAAACGAAGCTCGGTTGGTTGTGAAAGGTTACTCCTAGGAAGAAGGCATAGACTACGAAGACACAATTGCACTAATTCCAAGGCTTGAATCTCTCATTTTCCTCACATATACAGCTCACAATAATTTTAAAGTCTACCAGATTGATGTTAAATATGCCTTTTTGAATGGTGAGTTAGAGGAAACGGTCTACGTAGAACAACCTCCAGGTTTCGTGAACGAGAAATATCCAAACCATTGCTAGATCTTGGATAAGGCTGTGTACGGTTTAAAACAAGCTCCTAGAGCATGGTATGAAACTTTAATAATTTTTAAAGCAATCTAAGTTTAAACAAGGATCGGTCAACCCAACCTTCTTTCGCAAGAAAGATGATGACCACCTTATGATCGTTTAGATTTATATTGATGATATCATTTTCGGATCTACTAATCCTAGATTAACTACCGAATTCCAAAAATTAATGGAGACTAAATTTGAAATGAGCATAATGGGTTCTATTAACTTTTTCCTTGGATTGAATATTAGAAAATTTTTCAGAGGGCATATTCATACATCAAGAAGCCTACACAAAGTCTCTTCTTGCAAAATTCGAAATGGTAGGACACTCACGAGTCAAGGTACCGATGTCATTCAGAACGAGGCTAACACCATCCTTAGACAATCCTGCAACGGATATTACTCTTTATCGGCAAATGATGGGATATTTAATGTATCTAACATCTAGTCGACTAGATATAATGTTTATTGTTTTTTACAGGCGAATCCTCGTGAACTCCACACGACGGTTGTGAAGAATATTCTGAGATATTCTAAAAGATCATATTCTCTCGGAATTTGGTATCCTCCAAACTCTGGATTTTTTGTTCAATAGTATTCAGATGAAGATCTCGGAGGTTGAGGTCTCGATCGTAAAAGCACTTCTGAGGTATGTTAGTTTCTTGATGGTAAACTTGTTAGTTGGCAATCAAAGAAACAGACATGTGTATCCCTATCTATTGTAGAAGTTGAATACATCATAGCTGCATCTTGCACTTTGCAAGTTGTTTGGATCCAAAGCCAACTTCGAGACTATGGCATCGACATAAAGAGGATTCCACTCTATTGTGATTCAAAAAGTGTTATTCAGATTTTTCATAACCCATTGCAACATTCCAAGATGAAACATATTGCACTAAGGTATCATTTTATAAAGGATCACGTAGAAGATGGGAACGTAGAAGTGCATTTCATAAGATCCTCTGATCAACTTGTTGATATCTTCACGAAAGCCTTACCTGAAACAACCTTCAATTGAATTCTACAAGGCTTAGGAATGATAGAAGAAGAATCTATTCCAAAACGACATTCGTAATCGGAATGCATATCTTAAGTTCTGAATTAGTCCGAACCCTCGGAGGTATTCACAAGTCACTATTCACACTCCAAACGGGTCATAGCGCTCACAATGGCTCGAAGTCTAGCATTCATTTGGGAATTGAAACATCATGTATCCTTTGTATATTATGGATTTTCGTAATTTTACTTTATGTTTTAATTTTTTTTCAGAAAAATTTCAAAATACAAAAATATTTCATTTTCTGTTTTTATTTCTTTTTCAATAAAATCCAATATAAACAAATATTTTCTTTCTTGTTTATGTTTTATCTTTTCAAAAAATCAAAAAACTCCAAAAAAAAAATTATGTGTGATATTTTTCAAATTCGTTTTATCTTAGGTACTATTTCATCATCTCAATTCAGAATAATGGGGTAGGTATATAACTTTGTTTCTATGTACTAGCTAAACGTCCCTAGAAGCATGTTGTTGCATGCTGACCAAAGCCTCCAAGACATTATGCTGAAGCCTTAATGAAACTTTTGCTCCAAATGTTTCTTCCAATCAGGCTAATATTCACATAAGTCGTTGAGCTACCTTCCGCTTCTCATATTGATTAAGAGTTAACTTCTTAGTCATTCGTAATATAGAAGAGGTACATTTTTATCTTCGGGACCACCTTATCTTTTCTCCATGACCTTCACTTTCACATTCTTAACCCCTGAGACTCTAAAAAATTACCATTGAGGTTTATGGTTACACAAATTCTATGTTTATGATCTTCAAATTGTTATCACCATGATTTGAGTGAAACCTCAAATTTGAATCCTATTTATGTATTGACAGAGAACAATCAATAAGTTCTAGTTTAGTACCAAGGAATTGACAACAAGCAACCCTCGCAGTTTCTACCTTGAAATCTCATCATTTTTATTTTGTGAGATCTTAATAGAATGCTCTCGACCAATGACATTTCTTCCCACTAGATCTAGTTTTTATTTTATTTTGAGATTCTGATCTTGTCTAGTCACTTAAATGCATCCAAATCATACTTGTTGTTATGGCTACACTGGTCAGACAAGTACTTCTTCGATACTTTTGGACTTATGTTGAGTTTTGGAGTTTGGATGAAGCAAAGCCACCTATTAACGCCTAATGAAAAGAAGCCTTTCACTATTTCTCAACAAATAGGTGATCGTGATTCAACGGGAAGCCATGCAAGCACTTTGGAGTTTCTCTTGATTCTGGAGAAAGAGATCGTTGTCTGGGATCCATCTTCTTTTATGTTAATTTTATATTGACATAACAAACTCCCATATATATTTTGTTTTATTTCTTTATCTTTGGCACACTCTTGCACTAAAACCCTCGTGATTTTCAAAAGTCGGGTTTTAACCTGCAAATGATTACATTCCATTCTGAGAACAGGTTATGGTGAATGATGTTGAATTCCGAATGTACAGAATTGAAACGGTGGTTCTAAAGGGATATGATTTCAAACTTGGGCGCACGCTTTTCAAATTTCCTGACATCACGCTTTGTCAGTTACGTCGCCTGACATCATGTCTGTGAGTCACACTTTTTCAGAGAAATAAATAGTCTTACAGCTAACTTTCTCTCTCCATCCATACTTTATATAAGGAAAAATGATGCTTGCCATCCTCATCACTTTCAAATCTCTTGAGCAAATACTCTCTCTCAAACACTGTTCATTTTCTCCATCTGTATCAATGGCCTCTCCTTCTGAAACTCCTTGTATGGGAGACTAAACCGCTTCATCGGGGATACTAAACATCAAAGCCAACCAGAATCTCATCCTGAACCTTGACTCATCAAAATATGTTGTCTCTCTCTCTCCAGGCGATGGTTGCGTGCCTTTGTCACTCTCCTTTGGTTTCGGCCCTTACCATGGTAGAGAATGTCACCTTGGTTAATTTATCTAAGGCATTCTCTACTACAATATATCAAGAAAGTGAGTATGTGATTAATTTTGAAATCGACTCTCACAAAACCTCAATTTCTAAGTTTCGATTCAGTCGATTGCTAGGGTTTCTCAAGCTAGGGATCTGGTTGAACCGGATTCTATCTCTTCGTCTTCTATTTTGGAGATGTTTTACCAGATGGGTTACGTAGGAAATCTTCCCATTTTATCAAAGTTCAAGAAGCCAAACCTACCACCAATGTGGAATATCCTTTTTACCCTTCTCTTCAAAAGTTTTTCAGAAAGGGTCACAGGCTCAGACAGTGCAAGTAAGCTTTTCTGCACTATTATCTACATATTATATCATGGAATTAACCTCGATTATGGTTCCATCCTTTGGCAACAACTAGTTCAGAGCACTCTTTCCATAACAAGGCACTCAAAGATCTCTTGTGCTTGGTTATGGTCCGTCATCATCCAACGAGCCATCAATCGACTCAACATTCCGGTGACTAAGGGATATATTAGAGCAGCTATTCCAATACTTCACACTTCGAACTTCATCATGTCTGATCGTACGAAGTTCATGTGTATTGGTTCAATTTCGGAGACAATGCTCAACTATGTTCCAAAAAAACAAGCTTATCAACGAGTATCAAAAGAAACCAACATCAGGTCCTCATCCTTTAACACCTGAGATGCAAAAGGCTTTGTAGGAAATGAACAATCCTGAAAAGAAAATCAAAAAGGCTGCTCGGAAGCCTAGGTCTCCTTCTCTAGTTGTCGAGGAGGATTCGGAGTCTCATACAATTTCCGACGTTCGGTGAACCGAGCAAGTCCTGCATGAAACTGAAGATACAATTGCGACTTCGCAACCAATGGTTTCATAACCAGCAGTTACTCAACCCAATCTAGAGGTAATTTTTTCCATGCCCACCTCTGTACCTTTAACTGAATATTTCTTTCAGGGTCTTACCTATCCATCGTCTCCTACTACTACTACTACTACCACTATCATATCTGCTTCATGTCCTAATGTCTTGGTTGGTGTTTCGCAACCCCAAAGTTCCATTGCTCAATCCACCCCACTTTACACCGAATCTACCACCATAACAACCACAACCACGAGTTCACCACCAGTAACTGGAAACGTATCTAATACGGGGGCGGGTGCTTCTAGTGTTATGATCGATCCTACCTCTACCCCGATCTTACCTTTACCTACTAATAATCCTGAAATAGTTTTTGGTTACGATCGGGATGATTTCCAAGGCTTCCACTACAACCCATTCAATTTTAAATCATCAAGTGATGACGAAGATGCACCTGTGACGAAGGGGCAATTTAAAACCCTTAATGAAAAGTTGGATACTCTACTTGAGTCTTCCAAAAGTTCGTCAAGAACCGAATACTCCTTCAAATATGTTAAAGCCTTAATCGAGACTGTCACTAAGGAGCATGCCAAGAGTCTTGATGCATCAATAAAAGCTGTGGAAAATTCCAAAAAAAAAATGTTCGTGAGGCGACCGAAAATGTAACGGAGTTTATGGTGGACTTTTGTCGATCTTCAGAAAAAAAAAATACCGAAGCGGCTCATCATGAGTCTTGGTTTGACTCTTCAAAAAGAGAAAGCTACTATCTCGAACGTTTGTACTGAAATTCAAGTTGATAATGTTGACCTGCGAGCATTTGTTTCTTCCATGGTTGATAAGTTTCACGAGGACCTTTCTTTGGAGAATAATATAATGGATAAACTTGTTGTGAAAATGGAGAAAGTGAAGGTTCTTACTGTTGATTCTTTGAAGTCTAAAAATGTAGTTATCCGAAGTTGTGTCGCGGATGTGAATCTCTTTCTGCAAAATCTCCTCGAGACTCGTGATTCTTTACTCACGGTCTTCATTCGCCAACATCTGGCTGATAAACATAAACTCGTCTTCTCAATGCTCAATCGAATAGATGGTGTTTCAGAGTCTGGCTCTCTTCTGAAACAAGGGGAGAAGTCAATAAAACAACTGATGGTTCTAGTCAACAAGAACAGAAACCAAATTCAAATGATCCGAAGGGTAATGAAACTTCGAGATCAAAAGGAAAAGGACAGATGACTGACGATGATGATGATGATGAAAAGGATGAAGAGGCACAACTTGAACGTAAGTCTCGTGATAAAGAGCATGACGAAAATCTATAAATTACGAGAGAGGTTGATGCACGTGAAAAAAGCTTCGTGATGCTCAGGTAACACTGGAAATCCAAAAGTCTTTTTTCCCTCCTTGGACTATAGGACGTATCATGAATGAAGCCATCAACAATCCAAGTACTTACTTGTTAGACCCAGTTTTTGGAGAGCACTTTGCATTCACAACTGAACCTACCAATAACTCCAAAGGCGTTCCTATTTCAAATTTTTGAAAACATTAAGAAAGCTCCCATTACAGACTACGGCGTCAACCATTCTCTTTTTTCTTTATACCTCAAGCCCAGGAAGCCTTAGTATCAAACCTGCAGTTCAATGAAAATTACAGTTGTGAAAGTCATCAGGCCAATTGAAACGGAAAGCTTTATCAATACCAAATTCAAAGTTGTATGTGAAGCAAAAAAGTTTAGTCTTTGAGTTTGCACTCACAGACTTGCCATGCCTTAAACCTTTTCATTGGATTTCCTTGTACCATATCTTATTAAAGAATGAACAAAAATTCGGACTCATCATGGCACATATAAAAAGGATGTTGATCTCCTATATCCAAGATGTTGGTAAGATGGACATGGAGATTGCGATTGTCCTCCGAAAGAAGCCTACGGTGCTGCCTAAAGAAGCTCCGAATAACATCAGCAAGATGAGGCTGGGAAAATTTGAGAAAGATAAATAGAGAGTGGCGTTTCAACAAAGTTCTAGAGATGGCACTAATGTTCAGAGGTGTATGTTCTGCCTTCCAGACAAGCATGTTTATTCCGCATCTTGCTCGAACTATGTTTTAGGAATAACTGAACAGTATAAAGTGAACGATGTTGACTCCAAGAAATGCTTCACAGACATGATTAAATGGTACATTCAGGTTTGAAACACCTTGATAGGTCAAATGCCCAAACTATTGACACAAAGGGAGAGATTGATGGGATATTTATTGTGTTGTGTCAATTTATTTATGCATGTATATAATCTTTATTATTATCGGATTAGGCCAGTCCATCCGTCATTATGGTGCTAGGGTTAGACTATAAATATAATATTCATGTATCCTTTGAGGGTTAATGTTTTAATTTCCCTATGTATCTTTACAGAGAAGTTCTACTCGAACTCTTCTAAAATATTAATATTAAAGCATTCGACACCCTTTCAATCATATTATATCTTTGTTCTTGTTGTTTGATTCATATAAACTGTTTTGAATCTATCGATCATTATTTTATTGTTTCTACAGATCAAACCTTTGCATTTTTCGTACTCGATAGAATACTCCCGAAGAGGTATTATGAGATCATGGGACACATTTATTGGCTTAACACATCGCTCTTCAATCTATCCCAACCTTTTCTACACATTCATCCTCTTGTATGAGGAACCTATTTGCCTTCCTTATCATATTTTCAACATTTTGCCACTCCTTTTCTACTTATCTCATTGAATCATTTGAAATATAACTTATTTGATTCTCCTTTCTACTGCATACAAGAGAATATGGCATGTGCTTGTTGTTGGAATCTTTGCTGGTGTATATGATTTTCAACATGTTGGAATCTTGGACTCGGCAAGTTGAAGGACCTACTCGCCGAGTAGAAGAGGGATAAGATGTAGGGTCTAAGCTGTAGACTCGGCGAGTCAGTTCCCGGACTCGGCGAGTAGACACTGTCTGGACAAAAACCCTAATCTGAGGGTTTGCACCCTATTTAACCACTTTAACCCGGCCTCCTTCGTCCCATTTACTCACAGAGGACCCCCATAGCAAACCCTAGCCATTGTTGAAGCAAAGTAGAGAATTTGAAGTGAGTTTGGTGTTCTTGTGATCGAAGGAAGAAAGAGAAGCTTGAAGGAGCAAGAAAGGACTAAAGGGGATCCGAATTTGTGCATCATTTGCAGCTCATTCATGGTAAAAAGTCTGTACCTTGTTCTTCCAAATGCTAGATCCCATTTTGTGTAGTTTTAGCGCTTTATGAGCCATTTTAGCTAGCCAACCATGAATGCAAGCATGGTTCGGGATAAGGGTACGAATCTAGGACCCTTGAGGGGTCATAAAGCAGAAAGGGGGTGCTCTTCCACCCAAGAAAGGCTCCATGCAACTCAAGGGCTTGTTTTAGGACCTTTTGAGCTTAAAGTACCATGCAAGCACATAAAGGTTGTAACTTTACGTGCTAGAACGGTCCTAGGAGCATAGATGTATCCTGTGATCAAGAGTTGTGCATCAGAAATTGAAGATCTAGTGAGAATATGCGACAGACTCGGTGAGTCCATCCTTGGACTCGACGAGTCCCAGATTGAGTCCCAAATCATTTGAGGGTCAAAAGGACCCAGTTGAGTGTGGAAAGGTTTTAGGGAGTCCCGGGGAGTGACCCAATGTTCTGGACTAAGCCATTGTTTGGGATATTCATGGGACTCGACGAGTGCATGAGCAGACTCGGTGAATCCAAGGCAATCTTCATATGGATGAAGTTGAACTCGACGAGTTGTTCATACAACTCGGCAAGCCAACGACAGGACCTGTTTATCAGTTGAAGATGAAATCGACGAGTTGTTCATACAACTCGGCGAGTCGGATGAAGATTGAGTCTATGTTCATTTGGAAGGAAAACTCGTCAATTCATCGCCTAACTCAACGAGTAGAGATGGGTATAAGGTCAAATGGAAGGATAGGGACTCAGCGAGCCATCTCGGCGAGTCAGGTCAACTGGTAGTTGACTTTGACTTTGACCTGGTCGGGGGTAAGATGGTCGTTTTACCCCAAGGACAGGTAGCAGTGTTTGATTGAATGTTTTGTGGGAATTACAGTCGGAGGATTTCCGGAGCAGCAGCAGCTGTAGTGACAAAGAACATGGTTTGGCATGCGGAATTAAAGTTTGCACAATTACACGGTGATTTGGTGCTAAAAGATATATTCGATCATAGTAAATGAGTACAAAAAGGGATCTAGTCTAGAACTTCATAAATATTTCACTCACTAATCACTATGAACTACATCTCTCAATCACACCTCTACAAGTGGAAAAACCCACCTTATAGAGAGGTGTTTACATATCTCTCTCTCAATCTCATTAATACATGGGTCTAAAGGCTAATGCACCACATGCAAGTGGGTTTTACAAAAGTCAAACATTTATAAAGTCAATCATAAATAACTTTGCACCCCAACATTCTCCCCCTCAAAGTTAGGAATGAATGACCTACTTTAAATCTTCCAAAGTCGGGCAACTACGCAGTTCGAGCCTCAAAGGTGACACATGTCGAAACAAACTTCAATATTCAATTCTTCCATGACTCTTTAATTTGGGCTCTAGGATGTGAGACCATACAAACTGAGCAGCAACGAATGATCAAGAGTATTCCAAACTCCAAATAACCACCCAAAAGTTGCGTATAAAAATACACCCCAAAAATCTTCAATAAATCCAAACCCATTTCGAATACATCACTTCCGAACTTCCAATTGCATCATCTCGTGGCTTCAAAACTTCAAAATCACTTCGGTCTTCAAATCCGCGTAATATGAAAAATTCAAGTTCGAATTTCTATATAAAACTTCTCCCCCTTTTTATAATCAAAAAATGATTATAAAACTCCCAAGGAAAAAGAATGTGCTCTATTTGGAATTTTTCATGTCAAAACTCCCCCTTAACATGTGGCATAAACATTGTGCTTCAATCCGGAAAATCCAAAAAATATTGAATTTTTAGCTTCGTTCACGGATCGCCTTTGACAAAATTTCTCAAAAATGGGTAGAAATTGTCAATTTCATAATTCTGCAGTGACCCGTTGCGTCCAAAACAGTAAAATATGCAAAACTCTCCCCTTTTTCCAAAGTTGGGTAGAAAGCGTCAATTTGCACAAACTGCAGGGGCTTGAAATGCATTTTCTTCAATTTTCAGTAAAAACAGTCCTTTTTCGAATTTGGGTATGAACCGCCAAATATTCGAAGCCTCAGGGACTATTTTTGAAAATTCTGTCATTTGCACCAAACATACGAAGAATCCCCAAAATATTCGAAGCCCTTAAAAAATTTTCGAATTTGGGTGAAAAGTGTCAAACATTCGAAATTTCAATTAATTGTTGAGTTTTCCAAACATTTAAAATTTTAGGGGCTGAATTCGAAAATTCTGCTTTTTGATCAAAATGTTCGAAGCTTTTGCCAATCATTCAAAGCCTTTTCCCAATTGACAACCATTCGAAATTTCACGGGTGATTTTCGAAAATTTTGCTTTTTGGATCAAAATATTCGAAGCCTTGCTCAATTCATACGAAGCGTGCTTTTTCCCTTTTCACACGAATTCGAAGCAGTCGAAGCCTATCCAATGAACAGTAACCTCGTAATCATCCAACCTCTCAATCGAATTATCTCACTTCGTACATTCAAATCACCCTTCGTTCCTTACAGTTCTTCCCCAAATCATCAATCCAAAACACAGGAACGCTTCGTACATTCACCCGTATGTTCCCTTCGAATCTTATTCACCAAATCACACAGTCGATCATTTGTCGTTCGTTTTTCAGTTCAACCCAAACATACAGTTCATCACTCTTTCTCAAACACTAATTGTTCCTCAATCAATCTTCGACTCCGGTTCTTCGTTCTTTTCATTACAGGGACCACATCGACCAAAATCGACTCGAAACATTCAAAGAATTCGCCCCAATTCCAAAATCGTTGACATCAACAACAAATTTCAACCCTTCGAATATTCATACTAAGTTAAGCTTAGATTTCCAATCCAGTCAATGGATCGAACAAAACTTTTGCTTTTTGATACAAGTACCCCAAAATTATCAAAATCTTTGAAATCGATTCCATAATCAGTCATTAAGAAGGCTTTCGTTATCAAACAATCGACTCTAAACCATTGTTCATTCGAATCTTGACCCAAAAATCACCGACTCTAAAAAGTTATCCCAAATCGAAATTATCGATCTATCACACCAAAGACTCCGATCGATCGAATCCAACATTAACTTTGCTTTTCATTCAATAATTGTCATCTACATTCGAAAATTGACTCCAAACACAGTTCACAGTTGAAAATCGTCAACCCAAAACCAATAATCGTTCTTAAACCCATTGAAATCAAAAATCGATTAAAGCTTCATTCTTCACTGTTTCTTTCTAGTCTTGACAAATATGAAAGCCATAATATTCAAAACAATTTCAGATCAAAACCAAAACTTTTTGTTCTTCAACTGTTCTTCATTGATTTCAACTGTTCTTGATTAATTTGATCAAAATGAAGAATCAATATGATGATTTCTTCATTGGAACTTGTATAAAATCGAGTTCATCATATTCCAAATCATAAGAAGTCGAGACTCATTTTCAGATATACATTTAACATCGATCGAGAAAAAAAAATAGAGAACAAGATGAAGAACTCAAGAACAGTCGATCATGAAGTGCAATGAGTCAATAGTACAAGAATAATATGCCTGTGTACAAGTCAAAAGTATGAACAAATATGCGTATACTCATACCAAATGGATCTTACTTGTGACTTTGGGCTAAAACATGTTTGATAAACAAATGGGAAATCAAATTTGGGCTCAAACCAAGATCATGAACAGTAAGTATATTAAATTGACCGGGCTCAATCAATTTAAATGAACAATTATCGATCGGACATTGGGCTTTAACACTTGGATCAATGAATACCAATGAATTAGATCTTTTGAATT